CTGATGAGCCGCTGCCACGTATTGGTGCAGATATCTCTGTCAGGACACCGACTGCAGGCACTCATTTCAGCTAAAGAGCTCCTCTCCGTCTGTTTCAGGTTAGTGGACATCATTCAGTAAACTGTCCCATCAGGAAATATGTCACTACGTCACACAGTGGAGTCTCTCTGATTGGTTAACACGCAGCGTCGAGCTGCAAAAGTTCAGATTTTCTAACTTCAGCAATTTGCGCCTCAGCGCGTCGAACGCTCAGATCGTTCAAATCGCTCTGCTCTAATCGTGCTTGAGGCGCCGCAGCACTTCCTGACGCTGCTTGAAGCGCATCCACCATAGACTTTGTATGTAAACCTGATGCTCCTGATGCTGAAATCGCATTTGGTGTGAACGCACCATTAGACTTTGAAGTCTAGGGTAAATCTTTAAAGCTTAAATAAGAAAATGGACATAATTTTTTCAACCATATTGCACTAACATTTGGAAAATTTTAAAAAACTTTACCAAAACATACTGACTTCACAGTCTTAACTATAGTAGTGCAAAATCTAGAACAAAATTTCAAAACCTGCGCAAACCTGCAAAAAAACACTTCTGAGCTGTGTGTAATTTAGGAACCGCCTAAATTGTTCAGAACACTTTTTAATCAGTAATATCTAGATTTTTTTGCAGAAAAAGGAGCTGATCAACATGGTCAGAAGTAAGAGTGCTGCGCTGTGCTGTCACAATATCCCCTGCTGTAGAAAACATTTGTTCAGCAGCAACACTGGGATGCATAGGTGGTGTTTAGCCGATCTAGACAGTAGAGAAAATTCTTCCTCGTGAAATTTCCACCACTGGAGATGATCTGAGAGAGGCAGTGGAGGGACTTCCAGGTACTTCTTGAGCTCCTCTTCTGCTGTAGTTTTGGTGGATTTAGAGGGGCACTGACCTTAGTAAATGTCTTTCCTAACAGATTAACCAGTGCTGACTTTCTTTGAGAACGACCTTTATCATGGCTTGGTGCTGACTCCTGATGATGTGTATGGCTGGGTATCATGGCCAATTCTCTAGATCGATTCATAAGGTTCTGAATCGATTCATAAGGTTCTGAATCGATTCACAAGGTTCTGAATTGATTTATAAGGTCCTGAGTCGATTCATAAGGTTCTGAATCGATTCATAAGGTTCTGAATCGATTCATAAGGTTCTGAATCGATTCATAAGGTTCTGAATCGATTCATAAGGTTCTGAATCGATTAATCACAATTCGATTAAGTTCGATTCGATCTGCTCTTAAATAATGAAAATGGTTCAACTGTGTGGCGGCACGGTGGCTCAGTTGGTAGAGCTGATGCCTCTCAGCAAGAAGGTCACCGGTTCCAATCCCGATCCGGGGACCTTTCTGG